ATGGGAAGATTCAATGAACAGTACTATAGCTCTCCAAAAACAACTCTTCTTTATGACTTTATGGCCTCTTGAAGACCTTACTGATAAAAGCAAGGGATGATGCTGATATGACCGTGCAAAAGAACTTTTATCGTAACCTTCGCATGATTCCAATCTCAGATCCCAGGAAAAAAAACAACTGTAACGAATCGGTTGCACAAGTTCCTTAAACTAGCTACATTGGTGTGAGCGATTGATGTTTGGCGTGCGAGTTGTTTGTGAGTGACCGCGGATGTGTGGGTGAGTTGCGTGTTGGTCCAAGCCCGAATGTAACTGAAAGCATAGCCAGTGTGTTCCGAACCGCCGTGAAGTAAACGGGAAATATAGTTTACGGTTGAACTAAATCTGTGTTTCGAAAAAGGAATCCGAAAACGAAAAATCGATCCCTTCCGTTGTTTTAATTTTACACAATTTTTCATTTTTTTTTTTTTTTGCCGAACTTCTTAACGGAATCCCTTTTTGAAGAGCTTTTTGAGCTTGTTGATTTATTTCCTTTTAATTTCGTTTTAATTGCTTATCTTTTAACAGATATGTGCAATTCATTCTTTGCTCGACTGTTGAGTTGTTCAGTCTGTATTTTTCGCTCGAGATCTCGTTTCGATTTTGTTTCGTTTTGTGCTGTCGCGTTGCGCCGTGGAAGTGTCGCCACCTTCTCGCGTTCTGGCAAGTTTACTTGAACTTGCAAACACGAAACGAATGGTGCGTAAACGTGCCAATGAGTTTGCAGCGGGCCCTTCACAGAAGGTGCTAATCAAGCCCAGCGCATCGCAGGATCACGCCGGAAAACGAGTACTGCAAACCAACCAGTATGCAGTACTCCCGGAAGAAAATAGCGATGGTGACGCCACTCCCATTGCAAGAAAACAGCGAATCCCCCGCTTTTCACACCGGTGAAGGATGTTGCCAAGCTAGGTGCCGAACTGGCACAACACAAGCTGCTGCCTCGCTCCAAACTTTGCAGCATCGGTACCAAAGTCATGTGCTCCAGCCTGGAGGAGTACAACGTGGACTTCTTCACGCATGATCTGCCGTCGAGCAAGCCACTGAAGACGGTTTTGCGTGGATTACCGTTGTTCGAGGCGGCTGCGGTGAATTCCGAGCTGGAGCGACTTGGGCTCCAACCTGAGGTCGTGTTCCATATGAACCGGCGTTCCATCAACAATACCAGCTTCCGTGACCAGTTGTTCCTGGTGCACTTCACGAAGGGATCCACCAGTCTTGCGGCTCTGGGATCCAAAATCCGGGACCTGTTTCAGGTCATCATCAGTTGGGAGCATTACAAACCCCAACATCGTCATGTTACGCAGTGTATGAACTGCCTCTCCTATGGCCATGGCACCAAAAACTGCCATATGAAGACAAACTGCGGCAAGTGTGCTGGAACTCACTCAACTGCGTCCTGTGAGCAAGTTGATGACATAGAGCCAACGTGTGTCAACTGCGGTGAAAAGCACCAAGCCTCCAATCGCGCATGTCCCAAGCGAGTGGAGTTCATTAATATCCGTTGGAAGGCTACAATCAACAACCAGGTTGGTCGCTTCCGTAATCATCGTTCGCCTCATGTACTCACGGAAGTCCGCTTCCGCTCAACAATCAACAAGCAAATCCTGCGAGTATCCAAATGGTTCCCAACAGTCGGTCAGTTCAGCATCGTCTCGCTGCTGCTGCGGCCCAGCCAATTCCAGGTTCATCCACCGCCCCTGGTTTATCATACGCTGCTGCTGTCTCAGGTGAACCTGTCGACGATTCTCCGTTCACCTCGGAGGAACTTGTGACGCTCGTGGCCGAGGTCATCATCATCATGCGCACCTGAAAGACTCGATCTGAACAGCTACATGCTGCCCTGTGTATTGTCACTAAGTATGGACCGTGAAGCCATCAAGATCGTAAATTGGAATGCTTGCTTGAAGAGCAAAAACATTGAGTTTGTTGACTTTCTCAAAGAACGGCACATCGACATAGCCGTCATCACCGAGACTCACTTGAAGCCCAAGCTGAACGTCTTCCTTCCCGACTTTCGGCTCGTAAGACTTGACCGCACCAGCTCCGGGGGAAGGGGAGTGGCCATCGCTGCGAGACGGAACATCAGCTGCCAGCTACTACCAAGCTTCCAACTGAAAATTATCGAAGCCATCGGAGTTGAGGTGAGCACATCGCTTGGTCCAATCACCATCATCGCGGTCTACTGCCCCAAGCAAACCAACATTAGGGACGGCACGGCCGCAGACCTCCAAAGTGACGGTGGCAAAATTTCGTCATCGCTGGCGATCTGAACGCCAAGCACCAAGCCTGGGGCAATAGTCGGCGAAATCAGGACGGCACAATATTATAAAGCGATCTGCACCAAGCCCAGTACAACATTCTGTGTCCGGACACTCCCACCCGGTTGAGTCGTTCCGGAGCTCATGCCACCATCGACATCTTCATCAGCTACATTGGCGATAACATCTCCCAACCTATCGCCTATCAGGAACTGAGCTCGGACCACTATCCGGTGGTGGCCGAAGTAGGTTCCTCGGCCAATAGGTTTCAAGTTTCCCGGCGAAATTACCATCGTGTTAACTGGCAGTAGTATCAGCGCTGTGTGGACACAGCAATCGATTACGACGTCCTACCGGAGTCGTACGAAGAAGTCGATCAGTGTCTGCAAGCCATCGAAGAGGCGATATCCCGTGCCAGGGAGCAACATGTACCAGCATCCAGACAGGTGAGTCATACTCTGAACCTTGACAGCCCAACCAAAGATGTTATCAGGCTCCGTAACACCATTCGTAGGCAGTTCCAGCGTTCTGGGCTGCCCCACTTGAAGACCAATGTCAATAGGCTAACCAAAATTATCCAGGCCAGGATGGTGGAACTCAGAAATAATGACTTTACCAACAAGATTCGCTCTCTCCCAGATTGTGCAAAACCATTTTGGAAGATGACCAAAATTTTGAAAAATAAGTCGAGACCGATCCCTCCGCTTTCCTCTGTTGACCAGAACTTAGACCCATCCCTACTCATAACCCCAGTTGAAAAGGCCAATGCTCTTGACCAACAGTTTGTAATTTCACATAATCTTGGTCAAACCATGGTGAGCCCCCATGGGCCGCCGTACAGGAGGCATTGACTAGAGTCGCTGACACCCCCGTACTAGTGCATGATCATAGTAGAATATCGGCTGATGAGGTGATAGCAGCTATTAGAAGTACTAAAAACATGAAGGCTGCGGGTATGGATGGTGTAGTCAACCTCGAGTTGAAAAACTTGTGTATTGACTTCTTCAACCATCTTACCGTTATCTTCAACAAATGTTTGGAGCTTGGCTACTTCCCTGCATGCTGGAAGTTAGCCAAAGTGATTCCAATACACAAGCCTGGCAAAGATCCTACCAGTGCCAAAAGCTATCGCCCCATCAGCCTCTTGTCCTCCATCTCGAAGCTATTCGAAAAATTGATACTCAGCCGTCTGCTGGTGTTTTCAAATGATAATAACATCTTTCTCAAAAAGCAATTCGGGTTTAGGAAAGGCCACTCTACCATCCACCAACTCGCACGGGTTACTAACATCATCAAGCGGAGCAAGTCCGTTTCCAATACATCTGCCATGGCATTGTTGGATGTCGAGAAGGCGTTCGGCAATGTCTGGCATGATGGCCTAGTGTACAAGCTGCATCGATACAACTTTCCGATCTACCTCGTGAAGATCATCAAAAACTACTTGTCGGGCAGATCATTCCAGGTCTACTTGAACAATGTCCCCTCTGATACGTTCAACGTTGATGCAGGGGTCCCTCAAGGTAGCCTGCTTGGGTCTATCCTATTCAACATTTTCACGTCAGACGTTCCTCCGCTGCCGGATGGTGGTATCCTGTCTATGTTCGCAGATGACACCTCCATCATCTATAAGGGTCGAGTGATCCGTGCTCTGGCGAGTTAACTTCAATCAGGCCTGGATGTTTTGTCCGACTATTTTAAGAGCTGGAAGATTTGTATCAATGCAGCTAAAACACAAACCATTCTGTTTCCACACTCGTATTCACCTCGGCTTGTTCGGCCTGCTAACCTCAAGATCCATCTTGATAGCACTCCCATTGAATGGTCGAGTGAAGTAGTCTACCTTGGTCTCACCCTCGATAGCAAATTGCTATTCCGATCCCATGTGGACAAGACATCCACCAAGTGTAACATCTTGATCAGGTCGCTCTACCCTCTGATAAACAGGAAGTCCACCCTGTCCCTCAAAAACAAGCTTGCTGTCCACAAGCAAATCATTCTGCCGGCTATTGAGTATGGTATGCCAATCTGGGAGAGTTGTGCTAAGTGCCACCACTTAAAGCTTCAGAGGATCCGAAACAAGATCCTCAGAATGATCCTTAACAGTCCACCGCGAACTCGTAATTCTGAGATTCACCACCTGGCCGGTTTTCAAAAACTCGAGGAGCGAAAGACTTCCACGCTGGAAAGGTTCAGAGTCGCCTGTCTGCGATCAAACCACCAGATCATTCGTGATTTGGCAACCTAGTTTAAGTAGTTAGTTGCTCAATTAGGTAGGTTATCACATTTTTAAATTCAAACCAAAACAATTCCACAAAGGGTATCCTGTAAATTAGCGCTAAACGCAATCATCATATTAGAATAACCAATTAACTAGAACAAAGATGAAGATCCAAGAGCTAACCAATTGAAATGTTAAATCAAATGTTGAAACATAAAAACCTAGAAAATAAACGTAAATTTTATTACTACTACAAATACGTGTATTTCGTCTACTACTTGCAAACTTCATCAGTTTCAAGTACTCAACACCATTATTTTCAACTATCGAACACGAATGAACTTTATTAACCCTATATGAACATCAAACCTACCTAAACTGCTTATCAAACTATTTGTATCCAACGGAGTTCTATTGCCACCTTTCACGCACGAAAATGATCTAATTTTCTTCTTCTTTTTCTTATTCTCCTCCTCTTGCAGGTAAATTCCTGGGAGATATCGCACTGCCAAATATAGACTACGAAACCGAGTGGCAAAAGCAAAGACTGAACAAATCACTCCAACAGGAGTTGGAAAAACTCAAACAAGAAGTGTACCACGAAGGCCTACAGGTGGAAGAAGAAGGTCTTACCGATATCATCAGAAAGAAAACGAAGCAACTGACACCCGACCTTCCCACTGGATCAAATCAACCTAGCAAAAGCCTGAACGAAGCTTCGGTCTATGTGTCTGGCGCACAGCCTGTCGATCATAAATCACTTAACCAAATCTCGCACCGTCATACCGACAATGCTATAATTGACAGTTACTATGGTGAATCGCAGATAAAAGCAACAATCATAGATAATAACGATAACATCATCCTGCGAAACACTTCTACCAATCAAGTGGGATATCAAGAGGGAAAGTCATCTTCATCCAATGTCACTCCATCATCGTCCAATGGAAACGACAGCGACAGTAGCTCGACCATTGCGAAGAATAAGAAAAATGCCAAAACGACGGATTTTCGCAACATTGACCAAAACCGCATCCAGTCCGATACAAAAGACATCGTTATCGACGATTCGAGCGATAACATAATCAGCAATAATCATGTGAGCAGAAAGCTTGCATCGAGAACACTTTTGACACCACCGACCACATCGAAACCAGTCCGCACGACCCAGGCTAATCGCTTTAGCAATGCCGGAGGCAATGGGAGAACTTTAGAAGATGTTCAAGTCCTTAACGGAGATGGGACCATAACTGCTCACAAGCGTCACCGCAGGAGACGTTGGCAGGGGAATGGGCGGAAAAATAACAGCACCGATGAGGCGGTAGACAAACCGAGGAAAAAACCACTAGATGCAAATTCCGACACGTACAAGGCTCGAGTGGAACGTCTGAAAAGCGACCTGGGCAACCCAACGCTTTCCATAAACGATCCCAATTTAAAACATTTCAAAAAGGTAAAAACTCACAGCAGCAAAAAGGTCCCCAAAGACAAACAAACTGCAAACCGAAACAAGTCATCGGCAAAAGATTGGGACAAGCATTGGAAAAGCGACTCACGGGTGCAAAAGGACCGCCATAAGCAAATCTACAAAGTAAACAGTGGAAACCTATCCAAGCATGGCACCGGCGCCGTTAAACAACAAACGTCAACCCGTATCCTGGACGACATCATTATTGAAGACAAAGTAGATGGAAACGCGGGCGGAGACGGTCTAATAAGGGACTCCAAGGGAAATGTGGTTCAGTCGTCTTTTCTGGAGGCCCACTTGGCTGTCGACGTAGATGGCGAGATGCATTCATCGCTACCTGTTGATGAGAGAAGGTAGGTGTATCTATATGTATGACTGTATTTATCGTGATTGGTGTAATATTCACCACTCAATTGAATTAATTTCAACAATGATGCCCCGGAGCGTAGTGAAATTATATTTCATTTCAACTTGTGTATGTGTGATAAATAAGGATTTCTCAGAATGGTATTTTTATTTCTATATTATATTATTTTCAATTATAGAACACAATGGAGCAATCTATGATAAAATATCGATCAAGAGTCGAGCAACCCGAGCAAAGCTGGAGATCAAATTGAAATCAAAATTTGCTGTTATGATGTAACTTATTTTGAATACTCCAGTTGATCTCATTTTGGTTGACTTAACGGTTAACATAGTTAACAATCAATTTATTTTATTTATTTGTCGTCAATCAGTGTAGACCATTTTACAATTGTTGTCTTAAGTGCTATTTTTACAATTTTGTCTTTGTTTATATTTTTATAATATGTCTTAATAACAAGTTAAAACATTACTTCTAATTGACGTTATGCGACGAATTAAAATATTGCTTTAATTTGGTTTTTGTCATTGTAAAGTCAATGTTATCGCAGTGCTTATTATATGTATCCATCATTTGGTTCAAGGGTCCAAATTTGGCATAATTCGTACGATGACGATTTGTAGCAAATATATTTCTATTTCGTAAATGCCTAGATGGTGTATATAAATTTAAGGATGACAATAGTTCTATTGAATCAATTCGATGTGATACGATATCGTTTACGAAAGAAATCATAGCAAATTCACGACGCTTTTTTAATGTTTGGATATTTATGAGCATACACCGAGCTGTGTAAGATGGCAGAGGAAATACAGTCCAACCTAACTTGCGGAGTGCATACAATAGAAACTGCTTTTGAACGGATTCTATTCCTTCTTCGTGTGTGATTGAAAAAGGAGACCAAACTATGCTGCAATATTCTAATATCGATCTTACATAAGCAATGTACAATGTTTTAATCGTATACGGATACGGATACGGATCGTGAAAGTTATAGCAGAAACGTTTTATGAAACCAAGCATGTTGTTAGCTCTGTTAATAATTGTGTTATAATGATCGGTGAAAGTAAGTTTTGAGTCCAAAATAACACCTAGATCCCTGACTCTATCACACTTTGATCTGGTTTCCTAAAGTGACTGTTATATCGGGTAGCTTTTGTTTTCTACTAATGGTAATGGAGTTACATTTTTTATATTTAATTGTTGCAGGCTTTTTTGACACCAAGTATGGAATATTTGAATTTCCTCTTTGAATGTGATGATGTCTTTGGCATCTTTTATTTTCAAAAAAAGTTTAATGTCGTCAGCATATATTAAAACTTTCAATTTCCTAATAATGAAAGATATGTCATTGACGAAGAGAATACATAAAAGTGGTCCTAAATGGGAGCCTTGAGGAACTCCTGAAGTGACGTCAACGGGATTTGATATCTTTCCTTTGTATTTTACTATTTGATGACGGTCAGTTAAATATGATTCAAGCCACTTGAGGAGTGCGTAATGAATTCCCATTTTTTGAAGTTTAAAAAGAAGCATGGGTATGTCAATTCGATCAAACGCATTGCTGAAATCTGTATACAACACTTCTACATGGTTTCCGTTATCCATTGCATTCAAGGAAAAATTAATTAATTCGAGCAAATTCGTAGTTGTTGAACGGCCTTTAAAGAAGCCATGCTGAATAGTAGTTATTCTGTTTTTAATTTGAAGAAAGAGTTTTTCATTTACAATCGCCTCGAAAAGTTTTGGAATGCAAGAGATAATAGCTATACCACGATAATTACGTATGTCGGATTTTTTACCCGATTTAAAGATAGGCACTAAAAACGAGTTTTTCCATATTTTAGGGAAGTTTCCGGATTCCAGTGACATATTGAAAATCCAAAATAATGGAGCAGTAAGTTCAATTGCTAAAGTTTTCATAAAAACTGGCGGAACACCGTCAGGGCCAGGACCTTTAGATGCATCTAAATTGTTTAAACCCTTTAAGATATCATGAACCTTGATTTGACTTACGCTGATGTCACTTGAAAATTCTGGATATGATTCAAAATATTCACGATCACGGTCCTCTTCTGAAAACGTAGTATATATTTCTTGGAAGAAATTTGCAAACAAATTGCATATATCATCCGAGTTCTCACCTATCCTATCGTCCAAATGCATCTTTAAGGGAAAATTATCAGATTTTAATTTGGTTTTCACGTAATTGAAGAAGTTTCTAGGACAAGATTTTATTTCAAGTTCAGTTTTTAAATAATACTCCTCAAATGCCATATTCACGGCCAAATTTAACTGATCGCGAATGTCTAAATAGTATGCCAAAGTTTCTACACTATTATATTTTTTATAAAATTTGTGCGCTTTTTGCTTTCGATTTTTTAAATTTTTCAGTTCCCTGTTGTACCAAACTGGATGTTTTGCATGACTCTGACGTCTTCTTCTTTTAGTTGGCACTTCTTCAAGTATTATTTCAAGCAACACATTGTAGAATACGTCAACTGCACATTCAACATTTCCTGCAGTTCTTAATATTGCTTGCCAATCGACAATGTTCAATCTATTTCTAATGTTATCATAATTTGCTAAATTGTAATCAAAGATTTCATCAAATTCGCAGTCGTTGGTTCTTTCATTTATGTGAACGAATAGAGAATATTCTATTGCTGTGTGAAACATTTCATTTCTCCATATGGGACTTAACGATTCAGTCACACAGAAATCTTTATAAGTATTTGTTAATAAAAGGTCTAAATAACAATTTTGTTGATTTTTCACATGGTTAATTTGATAGAGTCCTAAATTTGCAATTTTGTCAAAAATGAAACGGAGTGTTTTATTTTCCCCAACGACTGGAAGTAAGATGCTTTCATTGTCCATATCAGAAATAAAGTCAACATTGCGTTGGTTAAAGTCACCATATATATGAACTTTTACTTCAAGGGGTAAACTAGACAAAATTTCTTCCGCTTTTCCAAAAAACTTATCATACGTGTCCTTATGAGCATTGTTTGGAGGAAAGTATACCGAAGCAAAGACATGTGTTTCGTCTGCTACTTGCGCTTTTACCCATACATGTTCGAATTCTTTAAATTTAGTAGCCATAATAATTTCTGAATTCAATTGGGTCGAAATCGCTATTAATACTCCACCTCCCGATTTTTTTCCAGACCATTGAAAATTGCGGTCGTCTCTATAAACGTTATAATTGTTACCAAAAACTTCTTCACTTCTCACACTATCATCCCAACTTGTTTCATTAGCCATTATGACAGAGTAAGTAGAACTTAATATATTTTTGTTAATTTCATTCATTTTACCGGCGCTTCTCATGCGGTTAACATTTTGGCAATATACTAAAATTTCTGTACTGGTCTGAAGATTAGGTGAAGAAGTTGATGGTAACCTGTCATTCATAAAACTATTATCAAAATTATTTACCCCTGATCCATGTTCCGAATTTGTTTCGCTCTGCAAAGTGTCGTGATTTTCGTTATTTTCTTCCTCTATGGAGTGTGTCAGTTTTGTAGAAAAAACGAGTGCCTCTCCTTGATGTAGAGAAGTCGTCAAGTCCTGGATAATGTCGGGGTCTGCCGGACCATTGTCTTCCTCCAAGGGGTGCGTCAATTTCGTACAAAACACGAATTCCTGCATATGTAATTTGATTACATATTTTGCATTCATAATATTTAACTGAATATGGGCCTGGCGTAAATGGTTAGCATCCTTGCTTCTCACGGTGAAATCTCACCCGGACTAGTCACGAATGACTTAAAATGTGTTCAACAAAACATTTAGACAATAATCGTTAGTTAAATTTTCAACAAGACGTTAGCAACAGAACTTGAAGTTAAGTTGCTTTTATTTAGAAAAAAAAAACAGAAATTTTTTTTTTTTTTTTTGTTAATTACTTTATTTGTACAGGCTCATTCGAATAAACTTTACAGAGCCAAGTTATCATTTTCTTTATACATTATGAATGTCTTAAATCTAAAATTAAAGGATTGGAACCGATTACTCGCGGTCTTCTCGAGGTTAGTGGATGACAATTGTTTGGATCGGGAGAGGGAAAAGGAGATTTGGAACTCGATTTGGAATATGATTTATGATTCAAAAATTTCTAAAAAAAAAAAAAAAAAAAAAAACAGAAATTATGTAATCAGACTTATTTCGCGACACTTAAATCAAATTGAGTTTTTATTATAAAAGATCAGCAAACTTTAATACCGATTTGCTTTCATTTTGTTAACCGCCTTTGCTCAGGTAGTGCTGCTTATATCAAAAATTCTTCTGAAGACTCTTTTTTTTTATTAAGTTAATAGTTTATACACAATTCAATTAATTTCGCGATTTTGCCATCTCCGACCAATGTGGGGCTCTCGCATTTCAAGAACTTTTGTATCGTTGCGGCACGAAAATGCTTTATTGCCGAATTAAATATTTATTCATTTATTTATTTATTTGTTGTTTCAATGATTCATCTGACACATGGTTGTCTTAATGAATTAAAAAAGTTTAATTAAAACAAAAAAAAACAAGGCGCGTTCTAATTCAGGACAGTTAACGGCACATTAAAGTCAAATAATGCATAAACCTCATTAAACGCATTAGCGACGGCACGGATAGGTTCATTCAACCCGGAATGCCGATTACGAGCTGCGAGATGTACACAATTACATTGTCTAATCACTCTCGCAGGTGCGTAAAAGAAAAGCTGCCGAAGTAATTCGTGGGAATCAATCTCGCTGGTAATGATCTTAGCAGCAAACACAGCTTGCGCGTTCCGTCTTCTTCGGTCCAAGGTGTCAATTCCAAGTGGACGACAGTGATCCACGTAAGACGGCAAGTTAGCCCTGTCACGGCAGGGCAGATGACGAAGCGCGTAGCGAACAAACTTTCTCTGTACACTCTCAAATCTGGCTGTCCATCATGCTTGGTACGGGCATCAGACGATAGCACTATACTCTAAGGGTACGGCCAGGGTAG